TATAGTAGGTCAATATCTGGACTTGTAATTGACAATTGGACGTAAGCCTTAGGACCTGCTATTTATGACATTCATATCTAGACTATATTGTCTAATATACAATAAGATATTTAATACTGGTATTAATTAAAGCATGCCGTTTGTGTAGTGTTTTATATAATATAAACTTTAGAATATCTGCTGGTTAGCAAAATCAACAGTTCGGGCATATTCACCAGCATCAATAGCACAACTTTATCTTCTCTGCATGGATGAAAATATTCTTTCCTTTTCCCTACCTCTCGAATGATCGACAATGCCTTCTCATGCGTGATAAGTCATATATAAACATGGGTTTTGTTTTCCTAGTTTGGCAGTAGCCAGTACTAGCTACAGAATGTATGTAGAATTTGTCCAGTGCTTACAGTAATACTGAGTCGATATTCGCACAGGAATTGCTTTAATCTTTCAATCTAAACGACAAATATAAGTCGAATATTAAGTCTAAGGCATCTCACTACATATTGTTTAATTGGACACAGTATAAAGGACTTACTTCTTCAACTGAACGCGATATTTCTTCAGTTAATTCATCCGCGTTGATTTGCAGCAGCTAAATAGTTCGATGAAAATCGCCTCCGTCGTTGTATCTGCGTCTCCAGCACCCAGAATTGGAAGAATTTTGCTTTCTGAATCGTATGCCGAACTTGTCGAAGCCATAACAAGAACAACAATGCCTTATTTTAAAATTTATAAGCACAATAGAATATTTCTGTAGTACTACGCTATAGTAATTTCTGAATTTGATGCACCCGAAATGTCACGTGACGTACCTTTCCAACATCTGAAATTAATGAGCTCGAAAGCCTTTGAAGTTTGCCGGCCTTCCAAACCCTGTCCTCTATTAACTATGATTCTCCTAATACTAAATAGATTTTGATGCACCCGTATTGTCACGTGACAGAGAATAACATAATTTGGCCACGCCCCCAGCTTCCAAACCCTCTCCTCTATTAACTATGGTTTGAAGAATTACATTTGGACGCTGTTTATATATTGAAATATTTACACTTTACAAACTAGATAATTCCGAATATTCAATTCGGAATCCGCATAATTTTGCAACTTTGGGGACTTTTTGACTTGTTTTCAAGTCTGTAAATCCTGTGTTATTTGTATTTAAAAGGTTTCGATCATCAATAACATAATAATTATCTAGTCTGTAAAGTGTAAATATTTCAACATATTTTAAATAAACAGCGTCCAAATGTAATTCTTCAAACTCACCTCGATCGCTTCATTTTCTGATTTTAAACACGATTTTCTAAAATTCAAACGTTTATAAACGTTAGAGAGTTCTCAACATTACTTCCGTTAAATTGCAAGACAAGCACCTGCTCGTATTGATAGCAAAAAGCTACAAGAAACGATAAAAACTCGCCCCATGAAACGATGCAGTTGTGCGCCATGCGGCCGACATACACGCGTAAAAACGCTCAGGTTGATGCAATACTGATGAAAACTGGATTGAACAATGTTTTGCTGCCCACATTGTTCATAGCTGTCAACAATATTGAACAACATTGTTACACCCGATTCAGGCTCAACAACATTGTTCAATATTGTTGACAGCTATGAACAACGCGGGCAGCAAAACCTTGTTCAGTCCTGTTGAGCTTTCGTAAATTACTCGCCTCCAGAGTACGTATCTACGAAAAATCACTCGTATCGATATTTAAATAAAGTTTTAATGATATATCTTCGCTATATATCGGTAATCTCACAAAAACTCTCTCTGTCAATAACAAATATTTCGCTATATAAGCACATGTAAATGCAGCCCTACTATTGGCTGAATTATAGCAGTTTACTTCCGGTCACGCGAGTGTTCGTCACAATCTCCGACACACTCCCCCATATACATTCCCAGGGGGATGTATATTATTTCACAGTTTAGCCAATAATAATTGTTTTGCAACTTTGCTACTTTAACTCAATGTAAATATAGATTAAAATCTGCGTGTTCGATTTGTTCATATGTTCATATGTCGCCTTCTTCTGCCATCTCTTGAATACGTATACGCGCTGCTTCGCCAGCTGCTCTGCTCGGTCGAGGTTCAAACTTTGGTGCTGCAGCATTCAACTTCGCCTGTTTCTTTGAAAACTCGTCACAACTCAGTTCCATGGGATATAAGTACTGCACCGGTCTTTCCAGTACCCCGTTCTTTGTCTTGAGCCGCACAGCTCTCACGACACCGTCCTTGCCAGGAAAGGTTTCTTCGACCACAGCTAAAGGCCACACTCCCCGATTCTTGTTGTCGCTCAACACTATGACTACATCTCCAGATTTGGGACAGAACTTCGTTCTCGCATGAATCATAGTATGTCTTTCTCTCAATGCCGTTAGATATTCCCTCTTCCAACGTTTCCACAGGTTGTTCTTGCAGGCAAGAAGGTACTTGGCACGTTTCCTAAGATCATGATTTTCGATTCTCCATGTCTCTTCGATAGGTAGAT